TATATTAATAACTACATAAGTGGGTATATTATTTTTGAACATTGATTTAATGTCAATTTTAACTTTATTTATTAGATTCCCACTTATTAGTTATTATTATAGTGAGCTAAATATGCGTGCCTACGTATCTATGTACCAAAAAAAAAATAGTTCACCGATTATACGCATGGAGCGCCACAATCGCCATGGATCCACGACTTCTTGCGAGTTGCCCCTCTTTCTATAGTATACTTATTATACTCTTTGCTTGTATAATCTTTTTTACCGTTTAAAACTGATATCAAAAGAAAAACAAAGTTTTATTTGCGTTTGTTTTCAAGTTTTCATATTATAATAGTAATTGACCAGGAAAATTTACATACACGTCGGTAAATAATATGAATAAGTTGAAAAACAAGGTACATTACGTATCTCCTTGTGATTCTGACAATGATTGGACCGATTCTACCGGCGACTCAAAATACTCCGATTCGGATAGGTTGGTTAATTTATTTAAGATTTATTAATTTCAGTAGTGAAAAAGTATTATTGCCGTTTGGTTTTATTTTAGTTCGATTCCAGAATGGGATTCTGACGTAGGTGAAGATGGGGAGTTAGTTTTCATAAAAGTAAAAAATAATGCAAACGACGATGTGAATACTCCACTTTTGGAAAATTGCGAAACTTTTAAGTTAAGAAGTGACTTCAAGAGAGCTTCAACGAGAAGGTCCACTAAAGGTACGAAAACGTAAATGAACTAATTATTAAAGTTAATTTTAAAGTACCTGAGAGAACCACAGTCTCGAAACTGTTTTACTGTCCTTTGGTTACCTGTGTGTACTTTTTGTTATAGCTTATTGTATAACTAATTTTATTGTATACATTGCAGGTAGAATTTTCAAAGCTTTAAAAAGCCGCAAAGAAAAATATGACAATGCAAGTAGCAAAATTAATGAATTCGAAAGTTCAGTTACTAAAAATTCTTTAGAAGATAATAATAAATTTGTTATCATACAGGTAAGAAAACATTCTTAATAAACCACAACTTTGTTTATTTGATAAAGACAATTTTTAATATGTTTTTTTTTTAATTATAAATTATAGGTTAGCAAGAATATGATATTTAACAGTGAAAAGAACTGCCAAATAGAGAAATTATTTGGTATGAGTTTAGAGACTCATATGGACGGGAAGACATTAATTGTTGCAAATTTCTTAACAGAAGCTAAAGCAATATACATTCCACGAGTTAAAGTTGGTTATTACCTAGTAAAAATAAATGGAATTGAAGTAAACTCTTACAACATTAATAATATGCTACAAGGAGTAATTGAAGACATTGAAAGTCCAAAACTAACATTTCAAGTAGTAACTGGAGGATTTAATATTGATCTTGTTAAATTATTAACATTAAAAAATTCTCCGGAAAATTCTCTAACTCAGCTTTTGAAAGATTCGATGTGTTCTGTTCTGTACATATGTTGTAATGATGTTGAGTATCAGAGTAATGATGATAAAGGAGTACTTTATTGCTACCCTCGACCATATAATCAAAACTTTCTTTATAATACAAGAGGGGCTTACGTAACACTTAATCATTTGGCCCCTAAATCATTGGGTACTAGTGAACCAGTAGTATCAACTGTCCTTTACAACAATACTTTAATTAATGTCACTTACGCATCTCATTTTAGTGATCTACTTTTACTGGCTGTGCCTAATAAGAATTTAGATCTTTTTTGTGCTAAAAAATTAATAGATTATGTTGTAAAAATCTTGGAATTCCTTTATGGGTCATTAAAATCTTGTTTTACAAAACCTAATAATGTAGATAAGTTAGACGGTTTGTTTTCTCGTATTTTCGTTCATTTATTGTTTGATAATTATAAAAATATGTCTAAAGAAGAAAGGAAAGTTAATACAATGTTGTTTGAAGAGTTTGTAGCTTGTCATGCAGTGACTTTACCTTTGGAAGTGAAAATACAAGTAGATGATGCAATAACAGAGTTAGAAGCGGCTGATTATCGTGAATGGGTTGGTATTGTATAAAATCAAATGCAAATTTAATTAATTGTAGATTGTAATCATCCAATCCATGAAGTAGGTTAAGTGCCATCATATTTTTGGTCCTCTTTCTCTTCTCACCCTTTTCAGAAGAGGGGCATGGAAAGCCGAATTTTTTCTTTCTGTGCGTCCCGTCCTCTGTTGGTTAGAGGATGGGAAGCATCTACAATTGCAGATGTCTATGTACCTTATGTTGTGTAGAAAAAAGTAGGGTAAATTTCTTGTGTTCTGTATAATTTTCTTCAGCAGTTGTCTTCCATTGTACATTTTAAAGCTTCGATATTTTGTTTTAATTTTTTCGTCTGTTAAGAACTTGTTTCTTTAAATTTTCAGACAGATGATGTTGAAAATTTTCAAAGGCTGTACACTGTAATCGGAGCATGTCTATACTATTCTGGACACTTGTTAAGTTCACATCTACGTGATGAAGACTTAGTAGAAATT